AGAACCAAAGGAGAGATACAACAAAACTTCATTAGTCTAATGAAGTTATTATCAGACAGTGTGGCAACAACAGGTTTCCAAATACTGAACCCTGGGATAAGATAGATTTCTGTGTGCAGTCTTGGGCCATGCTGGTGGACTGTGACTTTCCACCGAAGGGCATCCTGAGATGTATAGAACAGAGCAAAAATTAAGTCTTCTGTGGGTAGTTAATCGTAGGAAAAAGGAGAACAAGGATCTGGGCTACACCATTCTACCCCTTCCTCCAAAATCATAGTCAGATGTATTTAAGGAAATTCCCTCTTCATTGAAGTTATGTGAATGGAGAACTTTTTTTCCTGGTAATGAATCTCATTTAATTCTCACAGAAACCCTATAAAATAAGTATTATTATCACAGAAACAAAGGCACAGAGAAGAGAAATGAGGCTCATTGGCAATGTCCCACCATGAGGCCACTGTGGAGACATCCTTGAACCCAGGCAGTCTGGCCCCAGACTTCACATTCTCACCCACATGCCCTCCTGCTTCTCTAATCTTTTTGAGCTGAACTTTCTTATCTGAAAAATGACGGGGTTAGGCTAGAAAAATCTCTAAAAATTCCTTTCGACTTTAAAATGCTTTAATATGTCTTTTGGTTTATTGTAGAAATATCTGGGTGTGTGAAATATTTGAAAACTCCTCAGGCAAGGGATAATATGGAACAATATTACGTACACCTTAAAATGTTATTTTGATGAAAAGCCGCAGTAGGTAATTGTAACCCAATTCTCTTTTCAATGTGGAAAACTTAACAGTTTAAAAAGGAACAGGCAGATGGAATTTTGCTAACACGTCCAAGAAGGAACTATGATTTCACATGCATATTATATGCAAGTTTATGAATGCAGTCATAGCGTCTGGAACCTAAGTAGGAAACTATGATGAAAATCAGTGAAGTAAAATATCAAAATAAAACATTGCATGACAACTCCTAATGGGTAGCAATGCTGGCGCCTTTAATAAAACCACTTGGGAGTATTAACGTGAGACATAAGTGGCTGAAGGGTTCTGAATTTCCCTGGTGATATTCATGTATCAAAATGAATGTTAGTTGGCTATAAGTCAAGCAGTGACATGCTTAGCATGCCACGCTGTTGAGATGCCCAAGTTGTGATCACGGACAGTAAATTGCGACATTTTACTTTGTGTCAAAATTAAGTAGACAGCTTTGCTCCTAATTTCCTAAGAACTTGTTTGGAGCAAAGATTTAGGATTATAATCTGAACTAAGGATGGGAGGTGCGATTTAGGTAACGAAATCCCCTTTGTCTATCTGAGAGGATAGAGACATTATCAGCATGTTTCCAGTGAAACTGTTTTCAGTGTCTTCTGGGCAGCCGACGGGTTACTCACATTGAATACGTTCTGGGCATTTTGGAACAATATTTTTAACTGAAGATTTTTAAAAATCCCTCTCAAATAATATGCTTTTTAAAAATGGCTTCAAACCAATATAAGTTCTTTTTTTTATTTTAAAGAGTTTATTTATTTAGAAAGAGAGAGCACATGCATGGGCAGGAGGAGGGGCAGAGGAAGAGGGAGAGAGAGAATCTCAAGCAGACTCCCTGCTGAGTGGGGACCCTGCCGCTGGCTCGACCCCAGGACCCTGAGATCGTGACCTGAGCCAAAATCAATGGTCAGACGCTTAATCTACTGAGCCACCTAAGTGCCCCAAACCAATGTAAGTTCTAATCATACAATTAATATTCAAATAACTTCAGTTTTTCTGTCAAATTAATTTGGTAGTTGGCAAGTGTCAAGTACCTTTATTTAATGCAATATATTTAAATTCTAGCTGATGCGCTTTCTTCTACTTCTCCACCAAAAAAAAAAAATTTTTTTTAAATGGCATGGTCTTTACTAATTAAATAATATATCTTTGATAAGTGTGACTTTTGAAAAAAGATCATTTTCTTTTTTCAGGGGTTGCTTGGGTATCCTGTATAACTATAGTTTTAATTCTCCACTTGTATCTATCATTCTTTTTAGTAGCATTGTTTTCCAGACAGTATCTGATGGGTTCTTTCTGGACAATTGTTTTTCTGTTTGGTTAAAAAGAGATTTTCCTTACCTGTTGGAACTTCATGTATGTTTCCTCTTTCCAAAGTGTATGTTTTGAAATTATTTCTTTAAAGATTATGGCACGAATGGGATGTTATGATTCTTGATTTTCAAAAAGAGTCTAAGCATAAGAACGATTTCTAATGACGCAATTTATACATATGACAAATTGCTTCCAATAATGTGTTTATTTTATTGACTAACAACTCAGAATAGGGGACAAGAATTAGTAAGGAGCAGAGCTGGATCGTTCAAAAAGTGAAAGACAAATGTCAAGTACTCTGGAGCAGGTGGTTTAATGAAATAAAGAGTAAAGCCCCAGATTTTTTTTCTTTATTGCAAAATTATAAAGTGTAATGAAGTTTCTAAACATATAGCATAAACTAAAGCTATATTATTTGACTTCTAATAAATTATGTTGCTGACTTGTTACAAATGAATAAGAAGTAGTAAAAATGAAAGTATAAGTAAGTCGACATGTATTTAAAAAACTCTAATAATATCCAGGGTGTAATGATTATGGAGATTCCAGGAAAGGGGATGTCTGTCTGAATAGTGAGATTTCATTTGCTGCTTATTTTGAGAACAGTCACTTGGACCTCTTGTGAAATAGTCTCTTGTGATTTCTCTACCTATTAATAGCTTGCTTTGGGCCTGATGGCTTCTAATCAGTGAATAATGATTACTGACCGGGCCACGGTTATCAACAGCAACAACAGCAGCATTTATGGGCTTTTAGTCCTCATAACAACCCAGTGAAGTAAGGCTTATAATTACCTTCATTTTTACCCATACGCAAACCAACACTCAGAGAATTTAGGTATTGCCAGAGACCATCAAACAATGCAAATATAACTGATATGTATTGTGCTCCTGCTATGTTCTAGGTGCTGTGCTGGTCTCAACAGAATGGAAGACAGCCTGTGTTCTCAATTCCTGTTCTGGGGGAAACAGATGAATTTCCAGGCAACGACAATATAGACAGCTAAGAGCTAGTATAGGAAATACTGCACCGGAGCGCTAGGAGATTCACACATTCACATTCACAGGGTGTGAGGGAAGACTTCTGCAGGCAGAAAGTACACTCTTTCTTGTGTGTGCCTTGCTGGTGAACACAGATCGTGTTCATTATTCTTTTAGCTTTCCAAGGCTTTAGTTCTCGGCAAGCATATTCCAGCTCACCACAATACCACACGGGCAATGACTCCTCCTTTGCATATGTAATACCAGAATAGACCTTACATTTATTTTCAGGGCTGCGTTTAGGAGACTACTTATGTATTTTGCCAAAGAAAATACATACTTGAAAAAAACACTGAATAATTCTCGAGACACATGGAATCCACAGCCAATTGTTTCTAAGATCTGGTTACTATTTATAAACTCTCAATTTTAATATAAGATGTTCTAGCTGCTGAAAAGTTTTTTTTTTTTTTCATCTTAGAAGTTCAGCATTGCGTGTACTTTCTAGGTGGAATGATGGTATGAATTTGTAGCATCGGAGAGTCATCTGTAGATCTGACTAGGTTTAAGAATGAACAGGACATACTTGGTCAGTCATGGAAGCTTTGAGCAGTGGGAGCAGTGGGAGCGCCAGGAAATTGCCTGCCAAACGTATCTTTTTTAGGAACCACCGCTCCCCTCTAAATTCACATGTTGCCATAGATGTCACCAGGTTTATAAATGTCACCATTGATTGGTTCAGGGTGGGAAGAAGATCCAAGCTGGGCTAAGCATATTATCCCACTATTCTGACCTCATTAATTAGGCTTTGCTGGTCAGAGCCCATTGTTTCCATCCCAAGTGTGTTGACTACAACTCAATTCTGGCAATAACTACCTGGAATTAGCACCAGACTCCACAGCTGAAGAGCTCAGTCCTCCACAAAACTGCCCTGATCTTAGAAACCAGATTCAAGTGGGGTCCCCAGGTCAGCCACACATCTGACTGACCTGCTTTAAATTTGGGGATTTCTATGGCTCCTTCAGTTTCCATAATTTAATAGAACTCTCAGAACTCAACGAAGTGTTACATTCACGATTACAAGTTTCTTATACAGGACACGACTCAGAAATAGCCAAATGAAAAAACTGCATAGGCCAAGGTCTGGGAGTGTCTCAGACACATAACTTCCATGCTTTCCCGATGGAGTCAGGGCACCTCACTCCCCTGGCACATCTCTGTCCTCACCAACCAGAAAGAGCCTTGGTGTTGAATTTTTATTGGGGTTTCATTAAGAGGTATGATTGATGAAATCTTTGGCCATGTGATTGACTCAGTCTCTAGTACCCATCCCTCTCCTTGGAAGTTCCAACTGTCTAGTCACATGGCAGGTCTTTCTGGTGACCAGCCTTCATTGTCCTGAAGCTATCTTCAATGCCCACCAGGGATCTCTTCATTAACATAACAAAGACACTTATTCAGGAAATTCTTTTTTTTTAAATTTTTATTTATTTATTTATTTTTACTTTTTTTAAAATTTTATTCTTATGTTAATCCCCATACATTACATCATTAGTTTTAGATGAAGTGTTCCATGATTCATTGTTTGTGCACAACACCCAGTGCTCCATGCAGAATGTGCCCTCCTCAATACCCACCACCAGGCTAACCCATCCTCCCACCCCCCTCCCCTCTAGAACCCTCAGTTTGTTTTTCAGAGTCTATTGTCTCTCATGGTTCGTCTACCCCTCCAATTTCCCCCACTTCATTCTTCCCCTCCCGCTACCTTCTTCTTCTTTTTTTTTTTTTTCTTAACATATATTGCATTATTTGTTTCAGAGGTACAGATCTGAGATTCAACAGTCTTGCACAATTCACAGCGCTTACCAGAGCACACACCCTCCCCAGTGTCCATCACCCAGTCACCCCATCCCTCCCACCCCACCCCCCACTCCAGCAACCCTCAGTTTGTTTCCTGCGATTAAGAATTCCTCATATCAGTGAGATCATATGATACATGTCTTTCTCTGTTTGACTTATTTCACTCAACATAATACCCTCCAGTTCCATCCACGTCGTTGCAAATGGCAAGATCTCATTCCTTTTGATGGCTGCATAATATTCCATTCATTCAGGAAATTCTAATGGTTTTTAAAGCTCTGTGCCAGGAACCAGGGACAAAGCCCAGATAATATTCTTTATTATACCACAGAGTTCATGCTTGGAAATTCTGTTATTGGAACTAAGAGAATCCAATCTCTTTAGACTCCTGTACTGTGTTATGTAAACCTTAGGGCTGTTGGCTGCCGTGTTTCCCCCCAGGAAAACAGAGGCCAAGGTGTAGAAAGGAAAAGAGAAATGAAACAGATGCACAGAGAGAAGAGAGGAATGGGGGAGAGAGGGAGCCCACACAGATTTGAATCTCTTTTCCACCATTTTCCTGTCCTTGGTTTCTAGGAGGCTTCACATCACCTCTACTAAATATCCTTTCCCTCTTCTGACTTCATCCAACTCTGGCTGAGTTTCTCAAACCCCTGACTGGGCATCTACTGATAGAGTGAGCCAGTGAACATATGTATGGAAACGGAAGTGTGCGGACTTAAATCACACGAAGCTGCAGGCAGGGTTGGTATCTCCTTACTCCACATGGCACAGAAGGTCATGTGCTGCCTTGTGCAAATGCTGATCTTGTTACTCTGCAGAATGAGTCGACATCAGTATGCGGGGGGTGTTGTCCACGCACTGTCAGGTGTTTCCTTCCACACACAGGTGTCTGGCAGCAAGGACCTCTCTTTATAAGGTGCTACCGTAGCAGCTGCAACAGAATCGGAACGAGTGGCTCAGCTCCAGGGTTTGTCCTGGCTGACCCGGGATCCGGGGCTGCGTGCAGACACATTGTTCGTACCACGGTGCAGCAGCTCTGCTTGCTCCTGTTGGCCTCCTTCGGTGGTCTGGGACCTCTGCGAGTTCCTTGTGGGGCCCCATGGTTGTGACTTGGGGATTTTAAGTGTGGACAAATGATGAAGTTCTGAGGAATACTAGATAACTTATGATTTCACTCAGGGCTTTGCACCTTCTCCTAAGGGGTCCATGAGCGTTATTACGGTGTGTAGAACATTCTTGCCTCACATCATGGCTTTTGCATGTGCTCGTCTCTCTGCCTGGAGGGCCTATCCCCGAGGAGTCTGCATGACTTATTTCCTTAAGTGTCCTGTGGATGGCTCAAGGGCAATCTCCTTAGTGATGTCTCCCTGACTCCCCTGTCCGGATGGCTCCCACTTGTTCTTTGCTCCTCTATCCTGCTTATTTTACTTTTTCCCACTTATTCAACGTCTGACATACTGAACGTTTATTTGTTTACTTGTTTATTGTCTGTCTGCTTCCCTAGAACGTAAAATCTTATGAAAGAGGGCCTTTCTCTATTTTGTTTATTGTTTCATCCTAGCTGGGGCACAGAGCAGATGTACCCCCCAATACTCTGAATCAGAAGACAGCAACCTCTGGAAGTATGTACTAGGAGGAACACGTGTGTGTGTGTGTGTGTGTGTGTGTTGTGTAACGGCACCTGTGGTGGATGTTCTAGTGGCCAAAGCCCAGTGGCCGTGGTGTGAGTGGCAGCTTCTCTGTCTGGTGGAGTTGGCAGTGGATTTTTCTGTGGAACAGTCTGTATGCATTCGGGGGTTGTACCTGGCTGCATAGCCTCCAGGTTTTACTCCCTCCCCTTCCCACAGAGTTTGTAAGCGATGTAAGTTACTTTTGAAAATAAATCTCTTTTTTTTTTCCTCCTTAAACTAGAGTTTAAGTGAGTTCTGTTGTCGGCAACTGGGAATCCTAACTGATTCACAGCTGGTTTGAATCTGAATAATATATCCGAAAATCTACAGTTTTTATAAGCAATTTTGTGGTTTATAAGCAGAACATTCTTTTGATTAGACCTTAGTGTTCATCTGGTCGAGTAATCTTCAATCTTTTTTTTTTTTGCATAGAATTATTTCTTCAAGTGAAATTTTACAAGAAGGTGGGCATCCAATATGAAAAACATAAAACTGAGGCTGCTCGAGGTGAAGGGTGGGAGATGTAAGAATCCTTCACCCCCCTTCCCTCACAGTGTCTGAGGCCTCTTCTTGAGTCCTTAAGGCACTCCAAAACATGAGAATTCACTGACAATGTACCTCATTTTCTGAGGAAGAAATGGGTACATGGAAAATATAAAAGAAGCACATTTAGTGAGAGAACAGTCATTGGGACCCATTATCTCTACACTAGCCCAGAGTTTTTGTATCACACTGCAGTGCCCATACAAAATAAGAAAGAAAAGTAATCGTTCTCTTTTAAAGTTTTCTTTTGGTCATAGTTTGAGTAGCAAAAGCAATAGTCTGTTGAAATTGAGGTTCTCAGATAAAAAAGTTTAACAAATTTAATTTAAAAACTTACTTCCAATAGGGTATTTGAGAGCACTTTACAAGTTAACACTGTGTGGCTTTTAATTTAAAAATGTATATCATCCAATAAATCTTTTCCTTAGGATAAAACCCTGTTTCGAGATTTCTTACCAGTATATGGTAATCTAGCTGCTGTATGTTATACTTTTAAAATTCAAATGCATTGAAAAAAGGAATCAAAACAATATCAAAACATATGTTAAGCCCATCTAAGTATATTTATCCTTTGACAAGTCTAATAAGATCCAATCAGTGAAACAGACAAATGTTCCCTTGTCTAATGTGGGCATGCGCACATGTGTGTTTTTTATGGCCATGCAGATATAGCAAACAAGCTCCTTCAATTAGTCAGTGAAATGAGTCCCTTTATTGAAAAGGCAAATTCAATTAGAATCAATAAAAAGTAGAGGATCCATTTGAATTTCGACCTAAATTTTCTGAACTTAAATAACCAAACCATTATATAGAAAATATGATTAAAGCCCCCGTTCTCTCAGTGCCAATTTGAGACATTTGTAATTTTAGTTGCTGTGATTACCTGTCTCAGTGTAAGCTCTCTTGGATGGAGAAACCAAAAGTCACAACAACTTATTGGCAACATCATTGATTCTCTCTTTTATTTCTCTTTTGCAAAGGATAATAATTTGTGTCTGGTGATTTGGAAGGCTGTTTTTTATGACTCATCTCCCAAAGGGCTATAATTTCCCATTAAATTGCTGTCCATACTTGTACCACAAAAAACTCCTCTCTTCTATCATGATTTTTTTTCTCAACTATTCCCTTTATAATCATTAAAAAAAAATTTAAGCTATATCCTATTTGAGAGTCTTTACCCTTAAATTTTGGAGGGACTATAGGTAAGTCAATAGAGAAATTTCTCCTCAAATAAATTTATATTTTACTTAGATAAAAAAAGAAATGAGGCATTCATCAGGAATTTAAGACAGTTTCATGATTGATACATTGCTTTCTTTTTAAAAAATTCTTTTAAATTTGAGTATAGTTGACACATAACATTACATTAGTTTCAGGTGTACAACATAGTGATTCCACTTTTTTATGTTATGCTAGGCTTAGCATAATTGTAGCCACCATCTGTTACAATACAACATTGTTATAATATCATTGACTATATTCCCTATGCTGTGCCTTTCAGTGCCATGACTTATTCCATAACTGAAAGCCTGTATCTCCCACTCCTCTTCACCCCTTTGACTCAACTCCCACTCCCCTTCCCCTCTGGCAACCATCAGTTTGTTCTCTGTATGTATAGGTCTATTCTGCTTTTTGTTTGTTTATTCGTTTGTTTTTTTTAGAGTCTACATATGACCAAACTCATAAGGTATTTGCCTTTCTCAATCTGACTTATTTCATTTAACGTAAACCCCCCTAGGTCCATCTATGTTGTTGCAAATGGTGCAATCTCATCCTTTTCTAAGGCTGCATAATATTCCATGGTATGCATATACATGACATCTTCCTTATCCATTTGTCTTATCAATGGACACTTAGATTGCTTCCATATCTTGGCTATTATAAATAATGTCGCAATAAACGTAGGGGTGCATATATCTTTTTGAATTAGTGTTTTCATTTTCTTTGTTTAAATACCCAGTAGTAGAATTATTAGATCATATGGAATTTCTATCTTTAATTTTTTGAGCACCTCCATACTGTTTTCCACAGTTGCTATACCAATTTACATTCCCCATCATCAACTTTCTTGATGTTAGTGATAGGAGAATCATATAAGTGACAAAATAGGCTCAATACATGGCATCCAAAAGTGGTTCTGGTGCTCACAGTTCAAGATACCTTCCATGGCACCATCCCTGTCCACACCTGGAGGCTGCCACCACTGGGCGCTAGGACAGTGGAAGGCATCAGATAGTTAGATTCTTAATTACCAAAGCTATGCTGTGTTTCACAACTCTTCAAGTCTATTCAGAATTCTCCCTCTTGTCTGAAGGTCTAATTTTTTTAAAAAAATTAGATCTGATAGGGAATAATTGACAGGATAAAGTCTTTCCCAAGAGGATTTTCAATCCCTCATGTTAAGAGACTGATCTTTCTTGGGTTAATAATTTTGACATCTAAGACAAAACAACAAAGGGTCATTATATAAAAACAGTAGTTATGTGATATTTGTATTTAATTGATAACTATAAAGTCCTCCTCTGGGCCAGAATTGACCTTTCTGGGTTTAGTTTATTCAACTTTTATAAAATGGCTCCTACTCTACAATGTTTTCATATTTATGAGTTTTAAGACTATATAAGCATTCATTCACCCATTTTTTCAACAATGTGATTCAAACCTCTATCTTTGACCAATGTATTTAATATTGATCTGTATAAAGAATTGGTACCCTGCTGTGAGTGATAAATATAGTTTTAAAAATGTGACCTAGCCCTAGTCCTGACTCAGACGGTTTTCAGGGTTAAACAAGTAGCTGATCTCTTTCCATTCATCTATGCAATGCTTGTAGAGATGATTGCCTTAGACAAGGCCAATCAGGAAACTGATCTGGGCCACCCTTTAGAGGGTCCTGTATATCATAAATACCATTCAGTTCCAAGGAAATGCGTCTCTACTTTTCTTGTCCGGTATCCATGAAACAAAGTTTCCAGTGTCCTAATTCCATGAAGACTTGGGGATTGTGTCACTGACAATGTCAGAACAGACTTATTTTGAAATGTGGGATAAAAATACTTAGGTAGAGCAAAAATAAATTAATTTGCCAAATGCTTTCTGTCAAATAACAGTAACACAATATTTTCTTGAACAGTAAAGTAGTGCTGTCTATATTCCTGCTTTTCCTTGTTGCCAAAGACTGAATTGTTTCCCCAAATTCATATGTTGAAGCCTTAACCCCCAGTGTGAGTATTTAGGGATAGGCCCTTTAAGGAGGTAGTTAAGTTTCAATGAGGTCGAATAGGTGGGCCCCTAATCGAATAGGATTAGTGTTCTTTTAAGAAGAGATACCAGATCTATCCCCCTCTTTCTCTTTCTTCCTCTGTGTGGGCTCAGAGGAAAGGCCATGAGGATTGCAGCACGAAAGCAGCTGTCTGCAAGCCAGGAAGAGAGTCCTCAACTGAAACCAAACCTTGCTGGATGTTGATCTGGAACTTCTAGCTTACAGAAATGGGATCAATGCATCTCTATTGTTTAAGCCACCCAGCCTATGTTTCTTTTTATGGCAGCCCAAGCCGACCGATATGCTTGCGTTCTAATTCCTGGATCTGGAGGTCGTCATAAATGAGTGAGGTATGCACAACAATTGTATTCAGTGTCTGAATAGCCTTTTACAATGTTAAATAGTTCACAGTACTTGAAAAAAAAAGTCTAGCTGAAATAGGTGAAGCATAACATTGATTCTTTTTTTGCCAGTTTTATTGAGGTGTAATTGAGACATCAAATTGTATACATTTAAAGTGTACAATGTGATGATTAGATATATGTATACATTATGAAATGATTATCACAACCAAGTTAATTAACACATTCATCACCTCTCATAGTTTTCTTATTTACTTGCTTATTTGTTGGGGATGCTTAAGATTTACCGTCTTAGCAAATTTCACGTATATAACACCGTATTATTAACTGTAATCCCCCCATGTTATATACTAGATCCTCAGAACATAGTCATCTTCTAACTGAAGGTTTGTACCCTTTAACCAGTGTCTGCTCATTTCCCCTACATCCCAGCCCCTGGCAACCACCATTCTACTCTCTGTTTCTATGAATTCAACTTTTTGTTTTTTTATTCCACATGTAAGTGATACCATATTGTCTTTCTCACGACATTGATTCTTTACATTGGCTGCCAGATGGACATTGAACATTCAATTGTGAATAGTTTTCTTTTTATAAAAATATTTAATAAGATATAATTACATTTTTGAAAATTAAATTAAAATTTCAGTTTTTATTTATATCTTCTGGTTTAAATTTTATTGCTGATTGTAAGTTTTATTTTACCTTTAATTTTAATATATTATTTTGATTATTTTAGAGATAAAAAGAAACATGATAAATCATTTTACCTTAATTACCTTTAAAGTTTTTTATACTTTGAAAACAATATTTTATTTTTTAATTCTTTAGATCAGGGGTCAGCAAACTAAGACCTGTGGGTCAAATCTGGTCTGCCATTTGTTTTTATATAAAGTTTTACTGGGCTACATTCATGCCCATATTTTTATATATCGCCTATGGTTATTTTCATGGTACAGCATCAGAGTTGAGTTATTGCACAGACACTGTATGATCTGAAAAGCCAAAAATAATTACTATCTGGCCTTTTACAGATAAAGTTTGCTAACTCTTGCTTTAGATCACTGAGAATGTGTACAATTTGAATCGTGATAAAAGTGGAAATTAAAATAGGATAAAAACTAAAAAGCAATAAGAGAGCGAAAATTTTCAAATTAATGCTCCAAATTTAAATAACCAGAAGCTAGGAAAGTGAGTAGACTTCTGCACAGCATTGCTTACATAAAATTTGTAAGCAAGACATTATGAATTATTTAAAGAAGACTGAATGAAAATGAGCAAGGGATATTATTCACATGAAATCCCCACTGAAACTGGTCAGATAAAGCTTCTATAATGACAAAGTCTCATTAAATGAAGCCGTCGTCACTGATCAAAACAGTGAAAATGAAAGACAAAATTATCCATATCAAATTTGTACTCCAGAGACAGCAAATACAATTCTGGCATGCTTGTTAGAAGCTGAAGAAAAATACATTCATAAAATCTGCAAACTGGATAAAAAAGTTGAAAACTTTGGAACTTTACTCTGTTTATTGGAGGATGATTCTGGAAAATGGCTGTCATATCCTGACACAAATGAGAATGTTTCTAGCAAAGCACAATCTGATTTAAATCAATGATTACAGTTTTCCACTGGATAAATGTGAAATTTATATTTCATTTTTTCATAGACTTTATTTTTTAAAGCAGCTTTAGGTTCATAGCAAAATTGAGAAGAAAGTGCAGAGATTTCCCATTTCCTCCTTGTCCCCACACAGCCTCTCCCATTATCAACATTCCCCACCAGAGTGCTGCATTTGTTATAATTGATGAACCCACACTGACACCCCATTATCATTCAGAGTCCATAGCTTACATCTGGGTTCACTGTTAGTGTTGTACATTCTATAGGTTTGGACAAGGGTATGATGGCATGTATCCATTCTTATTATACCATACATTATAGTTTCACTGACCCAAAATTCCTCTGTGCTTCATATATTTCATTTTAAACCCTAAATCTTTCAAATTGGGAAAGAAGCTGTTATATTCTAAGTTCAAAAACAAAATATCTTGTTATTACCCTTATATATTTCTCAACCAATGTTCATAAATAGTTTTGGGCAATGAAGATATTTGTGATTAGAAACATATGCTAGATTAAAAGAAAATGAAATGATAAAGTGGCAAAAAAATGAAATGTAACCAGGATGAATGCCAACCAAATGGAAAAAGGTTAAACAAATTATGCATGGAATATTATGCAATATGAGCAACTATTATTAAAGAATAACCAAAAAAAAGAACATGAAATGCCACAAGCTCATAAAATTAGCAGATACTAAACAAATGAAAAAAAGGACTAAATGAGTGACAAACAATTGATATTTTTCAACAAAGACGTAAATGTAGAACAGAATACACAACATTGTTATAATGTACTTAAAAGGATATTAAAGACGGTATCATGTGTCCAATTTTTAGCAAAGCACAATGATGCTTATTGCAGCAGTAAGTTTTTGTTCGGGTTTATTGAGGTACAATTGATAAAATTGTAAGATATTTAAAGGGTCCATTGTGATGATTTGATAAATGTCTACCTTATTAAGGAATTCCTCCCATCTAGTTAATGAACACATCTATCAACTCACATATTTACATATATATGCTATACATACATATATATTTTTTGGTGAGAACAAATAAGTTCTACTCTCTTAGCAAATTCCAATGACATAACACAATGTTATCAATTATAGTCACCATGTTATATATCAGATCCTCAGACCTTATTCATCTTATAACTAGAAGTTTGTACCTTTTTATCAACTTCTGCCTAATTTTTATATAAACATGAAAAATTTGGGGGTTTGGTAGAAATGATCTATCTCTAAGTTTGTAAATAGAATGGCTAACGGTGTATTAAAAACGGATAAAAATAATGAAAATAATAAAAAATGCGACTCCCCCTTTGGATGGAGAATCCTAATTAGATTGTTCATTTGTTGGATAAGAAAGTGGGAGAAGAAAACATATAAAAAAATAAATATTACTCAGTTTAACTAGATTTCAAAGGTTATGTTGAGAAGCTCCTCAAATAAAAATCAAATAGTGATTTTTTGTAGAAAATCTAGAATTTGAGTTTGAGTGTCCATATGGCTTGCTATTAATAATGTTAGGAAAAGATAATGACCACCAACAACACAAAAATGATGTGCTTGGCTACTTCATTTTTAAAAGGCTTAAAAACTTAAAAAAAAAGCCCCGAACTCTGGAGAAAACTTTGGAAAAGTTGCAAGAAGCTGCATGCTAAATATGCAATAAATATGACATTTCATTAAAATAGAGAGAAATTACAACTAGAAATAAAAATATTTCCTGCCTATGCAGAAAAAGATTCATGTACAAATATTTCCAAAACTAATTTCTATAAAGAGTATTTTCTAGTCATGAGAAAGCAAGCTATGACTTCAATTGAAGAGAGATTGGAATAAACTGAGAGGCACACTGCTCTTTTCAGATCTCTTTATAATATTCCAGCACTGCCAATTTTAAAAGAAGACGAACCTAAGAAGTGTTGTATGGCTCTAGATACTGCTTTAAAATACTTTGAAAATCTTATAAAAGCAATAGAGATTTATATCTTGGAATTAAATTATTTTGTAATGTTTCTGTATTAATAATTTATCATCAGCCTTCTTATTATAAGGTTCAAACATGATTTGTTAATTTCATATTCCATTTTGAATCTCAGGATTGCCTTAAATTTTTCTTAACAACTGCAGCTGCCACTGCCTCTGCAGAACAAAGTTTCTTCATATTAATATGAATAAAAGACTATCTAAGAACCACCAGGACTCAAGAAAGGTTATCCAATTTGGCTGCTGACAGAAACCGAGTATGTAGAAACTTTGATTACACCAAATAATTAGTGAGTTTGCAGAAATTTTATGAGATAAATATAGAATTTTAAAATGAATTATGTCATTTCTGTGTTTTATTATTCACCCGAACATTGTTGGCCCATGGACAGAACACCTAGATGGGCACAATAAAAATTAAATTCCCTTTTCTTTGATATTTTGCCAACTTTCAGTTGTATGCACATATTTCTCAATTTTATTAGGTAGATCTATTTGTTAAAAAAAGGGGAATAGAACATATTAAGTATTTTATTAACAGCTTGTTAGCTTGCTGTAAAACTTCAATTTTTAGACATGTGGTATGTGGACCTCCATTTGTCCCCTGCTTTCATGGAGAAGGGCCATCCCACTGGCCTCATCTTCTTTATGGGCTAATCCAAGGACCACTGGTTGAGATGAAATATGAAAGCATGTTGACAAGGGACGAGGTGATGTGCTGGTATCTTTCTCTTTCACTTAGCCTTCTCCCTGCTGTTGCTACATTTCAAACGGATCTTTCATCGCTGTTCCTAGGAAGCGAGGATATGGCTGCATGCTCCAAACCGCCCAGTATTTTCTTCCTAATTCGATGCTTTTTGCTTTCTTGACCGAAAAAGAGGTTTTGGTTTTGAACAAACCCACCTAAGCAGGCTGGCTCTGTCCAAAAGCCAAAGAAATTTGCTTTTGGATTTTTCCTACGCGCTTCCAAGGAGGATAAATGTCTTCCCATCTAGGAGAATCAGCAGTCTGTCACAACCCAGACCCATTAAATTTAATGATTTATTGTAACAAAGTCTACGCTATTATATTAAAGCAGTTATTACACATCTTATATGCCAAAGCTGTTAAAAATAACAAAGGAGTATTATCTCGAGTGTGGGAAACAAAATCATTTTTTAAAATGTGATTAATTCTGTGAGCTTGGATCTTTCATGTACATGTGGTAAGCAGTATTCCATGGGAACTTTCTCAGCATGTGTCCAACAATGTAAACAAAAAGTTAAAATACGGCTTACACTCTCCCTGGCATTCATTAGCATATCCAAGAAAGCAGGAACTAACCACATTTTACATAAAAAGACTTTAGAAATCTGTGTCTACTTA